GTGCCTCGTTGTGATTAATTACAACACCTAATTATTTGCCCAGTACGTAGATGAGGTGTTTTGTCACTTATGGTTTCGTCATTCCTGTTAATGACACAACTGAATGATGTCTCCATGCATTCACGTCAGTGGCATGTGGTTGCCACATCACCCATCGGTTGTAAATATTAAAACAAAATTCAGGCAACGTATGTGGGTGCCACGTAGGCGCCATTCAGCCACGTCACCAAGAGACGATGACTTGGTTAAAAATGTCATGTACGTAGTTGCTTCTCTGAACAACAGAACCCAAGTTACCTCAGACCTTCACTCTTAGCCACTCTTTTAGACGAAACTTAATCTTAATGTATTTCTCTGCCATAGATCGCATTTCATCACAGTTCTCTCCTGCTCAAAACCCAAATCTTACACTGTCTTCCCTACCAGCCTATCTTTCAGTTTCTTAGCATTGCCATCTGAATCAAGCTTGGTTTCGGAAGAACCATTTTGCTCCAAATGGACTTCTACAAGATGATCTAATACAGACTGATTCCTGAGTATCATTCCTTTTAGTCACTGGAGGAAAAAATGGTCTTCTTGAATCGCAGCCTTCCATTTTCAAGCTACCTAAGCGTGTTGCACACTATTACTTAGGTCCCACAACACTCCACTTGTTTGTTCAATTAGAGTTTTTCTCAAGTATTGTATAACCGTACCGGAAAATTACGCGGTAGAGTATTTTGTGCTGAAATTGTGGTTCAACTATTTTATACTGTTAAAAATCGTTTACCGTTTAGCTTCTGATAAGAGTTTTTTTCGGTCGAACTGACAGTACGATACGATTTCACAAACACTGATTTTTGTACCTCTTACATGAGTGTGCTTAAACATTTTGCCATCCTGATTGTGTACTAGCAGAATGTTTATTGAGTTTCAGCCATGTTTGTGAGATACTCAAGCTCTTCAAAAAGTTGTACTTGCAATTCGTATCAGGTTCCAGTGAAGTTACGTTCCAAATGATTTCAAGTTCGATTGTTTACCAAATCACAAATGTGTGGACCAATCAAGCTATGTACAACTCCTTTATATATTATTACACTACATACTCTATGGAGTGGAAATGTTTTAACTGTAGGTCTAAAATCAGCCTTAGCTTATGTATTCCTAATTTTCGCCTATGATCAAAAGCTTCTCTTATTTGAGTTAACATAAGAGGGATAACATACAGAAAGAAAAAACCTAATGTGACTTAAACTACGTTTGACATGCATTTTAGTTTTCACTAAACCAAAGTTTCGAAGGTGCTCTCCAGCAGGATTGATGCTTGAGAAATGGAAAGCTTTACTATTTCCAAACGACTCATTAATTAACACACTTCCACTACAACTCTCAGAACTGGCAAGTTAATTAGTCGCCAAATTGTGGAGTGTTCACTGTGCATGCATGCTCAAATGACTTGGTCTACAGTCTACTACACCAAGACCATACTTGGTCATTCTTAGTAGATAGTCAAATGCAGTGTTAAGTTTACAGATTAATAACTAGCTTATAGTTTGAGTGGATGGTTTCTTTGAAACCATAGAGATATAACCTCACTCCAAGGACCAAACACTATACACTCTTATCATTATCATAATATCATGTAATCCGGAAGAAATTAGAATATATATTTGAAGAATACATCTATGTTACGCAGCTTGGGTTCCGCTGCAAAACCATGCAAAATCCGATGATATCATCAGATTTTGCAAAATTTTACAAGCTGATTTTTGTACCGATCCGCTCTCGTATATTAGTACATAAAACTTTAACCCCATACTAGCTACAAACCTTTCTATTCAGTAGGGTTGAAAATTAAACACTGAATTTTAACGAATTAATTTTACATTTCTTCAATATATTTTGTGAATAGATATTTGAGTTGAAAGAGCACATAATCAATTAGCATATACTGCCTTGAACCGTATCATCATGACTGGGCCTTTGCCTTCCAGTTCCAATAGCCACTTATTTTTCACTGTTGGGTCATCTGATTTATACATGCATCCAGTGAAGCATCCAACATTGCATTCCCATATGTGCATCAAAATCACTAAATGTTCTTGCTGGCTTTTACTTTCTTTCTTCCTGAATGTGTGGTTTTTCTTGATCGTTATGCAACAAACAGCTGGTTTCTCGATCGTTAAGGTTGAGAAGTCTCAACCTTAATTTTCAAAATCTCGTCCCCCTCTTTCATTCACAACCACATTTCACTAGAGAGTAGAGACAATCGTGTCTCCATATGACATTATGTTAATGTTTGTGACGTTATGGTGCGAGTTGGGATTCTTCGACTTTGTATCTTTGTTATTTACTAAGATTTAAGGTGTCAAAATTATTTATTCATGTTGGATTTTATGTTTTAAGGCGAAAACAATTGTTTTTCTCAGTTATTGGTTCAATTTTTAGTTTGGTTGACTTAACGAAGTGTTCATTTTTCGTTCAATGTAATTTATCTGGACCAGACTATACCGGGCCAGACTGCACAGGCGTGGTCTGGTCCCTGATCTATACTTTAGTCTCTCTGTCTAGATCGTAGATCGTCTATATGATCTGGCATGAACTAAACCGCAACATTTCCAGCCATACCAAACACTATACACTCTTATAATGTAATCCACAAGAAATTAGTGGAGTTAGTCAACCCATTAAGGGGTGTTAGTGGGACCCTTCAACTTCGGAAAGTATTTTTTTAATTCCTAACTAGGTGGACTTTTAGAAGATATATTTGAAGAATACATCTCAATATATTACACGGCTTGGCAAACCCATGCAAAATCCGATGATACGATCAGATTTTGCAAGATTTTACAGGATGATTTTTGTACCAATCCGCTCTTGTATATTAGCACATAAAGCTTTAACCCCATACTAGCTACTAGGGGTGGCTATACGATCAGGTCCGGTTAAATTGGCCCAAATTGATCCGGTCCAGTCCTGTCTTTTTGAAAATATAAGGACCAAAGATTGGATTGGATACAATCCGGTCTTGACCCGGTCCGGTCCCAACTCGGTCTTGATTTTGGGCTGGTTTGGAGAATTGGAGTCTAAATCTATAGATTCTAGACAATCCAAAGATTTTAACTCTCTGGATTGTTGAAAAAAGATTTGAAAATGTTCATTGTTTGGTAATTACTATTGCTAACATCCAATGAAAAAAGAAATTTAATTTTTTTATTAAATGATATGTTTATCTTTAACTAAGATAATTAGATTGGCTCGAAAACTATTGAGAATTTATTGGTGAGGGTATTTAGTGGGATAAATGAAAAAAAGAAGAGATATAGTAGGAGAAAGAAAATCTCCAAAATCAAGATGTAGAATCTCTCTAATTATGAGAGATTTGATATCTCTAGATTTTAGAGGTTAAAAATTTTTGAAGCTACAATCCACGATACAAAAAGTAACAAAAAAACATAACATTTTACTAAATCTATTGATTCAATAAATCCATGATCCAAATCTTGTTCTCCAAACGAGCCATTTATATTGAGCTTGTGGGGATTTGAGTAGCCTAAGGCCTGAAAGGGTGAGGAGTTGGTTAAGTTTTGTACTAAGTGCAAAGGTTTGTGACTGTTTATGCAAATTACCCTTTAGTTTTGGGTGTTGAGCTCTCTTATCCGGTCTTTATCCAGTTTTCGATCCGGTCCCGAATGGTTTTTTACCTCAAATCTAAGCCCAATGATTGGATTGGATTGTTTACTATCCGGTCCCGATCCGGTCTCGGTCTGGGTTATACAGTCTGGTTTCGGGTAAAACCAAAAAACCCGGACCAAATAGCCAGCCCTACTAGCTACAACCCTTTCTATTCAGTAGGGTTGAAAATTAAACACTGAATTTTAATGAATTAATTTTACATTTCTTCAATATATTTTGTGAATAGATATTTGAGTTGAAAAAGCACATAATCAATTAGCATATACTGCCTTGAACCGTATCATCATGACTGGGCCTTTGCCTTCCACTTCCAATAGCCACTTATTTTTCACTGTTGGGTCATCTGATTTATACATGCATCCAGTGAAGCATCCAACATTGCATTCCCATATGTGCATCAAAATCACTAAATGTTCTTGCTGCCTTTACTTTTTTTTCTTCCTGAATGTGTGGTTTTTCTCGATCGTTATGCAACAAAGAGCTGGTTTCTAGATTTGGCATCTTTCTCGTCAAGTTTGCAACTCAAGGGACTTGATAGTCTTGATGAGGTTACGAATTTCCCAGCAACGAGTGCAGACTTTCATTACATATCCTTGGGACGTCGTTACATTTCCTAGCTAAACCCTATATATACTGCCTCCATGCTTCCTCCGTACATTGTTTTCTCGCAAATTTCTGCAAGATTCTAGAACAAACTTTTTCATTGATCTGAGCATCGAACAAAGCCATGCAACCACAATAACAATCCATCAAAAATACCCGTTTTACCCCTTAAATTTTTTGGATCAACATATACACTGTGATTGATCTGTCGAACATAGATTCTTGTCGATCTTGCATGCTCTTAACTCGCCACCATCCTTCTATATATCTGGCAAATCCTTGCCACCCTTTTCCATTCATTCCTTATGAGCAACATCATTTTCTAAGACTACCGTTTTGTATCTGGCGAATTGAGTAGGGTTTCGTATTATTGCTTGGCTTCCATTATAGTATAGGTCAAAGCCGTAGAAGAAATGAATTTGCTTACACAGGTTACGTAAGCCAAAAAAGAACAAATTATGTACTTGCAGATTTAAAACCTGTTCTTTTTCATATTGCTTTGCAGGGGTTAGTTGTTTTAGATTTAACAAAAAAAAAATTATAATTTATTTATCGTGCATAATTGTGATAAAGCGAAATTACGTCAATCCTTCTTGCAAGATAGGTATCCATTATGATACAAGATTGCAAACAAAATTTCATTGCTTTAAATACATATATCACTCACTGATTGTTGGGCAAACCGGCATGTACTGATCCTCCTCGTCTCTACTTTTTTCCAGCATGAAATCTGTAATTGAAAGATACAACAAGACGAAAGAGGAGCATAACCAAATGGGGAATCCCACTTCTGAAGTGAAGGTAACATCTTCCTCTTTGTTTCATTCAAAAAATTCATTTAACAATGATAAGCAAGCAAGCACATTAGAACATATACCAAAAACTAAAAGAGTCTGAAAGAAAAGAAAATTGGGGAGAGCTTGCACACGATTCTTAAGCCAGAGTACGTACCTGTTGACAAACTGTGTGTTTAAACTTGCTAGTTCTGGCAAAGAGAGGCAGCAATGTTAAGGCAACAGCTACAGAGCTTGCAAGAAAACCATAGGTATGAATCTTTCCCTTCAAGCCCCTGCTATTTATGAGCAACAGCATATCTGTCACAAATACTAAAAACTTCTCTTCTTGCTTTATTATCATCTAATAATTAATTCACAAACATCAGTGCCAAACGGCAGAGAACAGGAATCTGAAATCACACTTCCCCCAGCTTGCCATTAATTAATAGAGATGCCATAGTCTGGGCAGAAACAGGGCATGGGAAGATACTGCATCTTGCCCTTAGCTATGCTAAAAACAATTGGGAGTGTCAAATGAAAAACCCTTTTGAGGCTATTGATTTTTGCATAACAGGCAAATGATGGGTGAGGAGCTTTCAGGCTTGAGTATAAAGGATTTACAGAATTTAGAAAACCAATTGGAGATGAGTCTAAGAGGTGTTCGGATGAAAAAGGTTTGAAGTCTTGCCACCCATCCCATATATTTGTGCGCTCATTGAGATCAGTTGCATTCTTCTTGTTGATTGACATTTGGTAGTTGGCTTACTTCAGGACCAAATTCTAATGGACGAAGTACAAGAATTAAACAGAAAGGTGACTACTGTCACAAACCCTAACCTGCCTCATCATTTGTTGTTTACCCAATTAAGCATCTAATCTACTGTATGAGAACTGCAGGGTAGCCTCATTCACCACGAAAATGTGGAGCTCTATAAGAAGGTAAACGTACTACGGAAAGAAAACATGGAATTACAAAAAAAGGTATAGCCTTTTAGATATATATACCCCTATTGTTCCTTGGAAAAAATAAAAATTTGATTTCAGATCACTAGTCCATGTCTCTTCTCTGTCAGCATTTTCACATCCAGTTCATAACAAAACATTTTTACTCAAAGGTTTATGGGACGAGAGACGCGAATGGATCGAACAGAAACTCACTTCTCATCAATGGTCTGACCATCCAAGATGATTCCCATGTCCCTGTACATCTCCAGCTTAGCCAGCCCCAGGACGAAGATCGCGAAATTACACCACCGAGACCCACGAAACTAGGGTACACACTAGAGTTCTCGAACCACACTAGTTCGTTACGATTATGATTTCGACACTCATCACTTTCCTCTGCTTGGTGCAGCAGGCTACAGCTGCATTAGCACAAAAGAGGTTGCAGCTAATTGGAGTGAATGCTAAGTTGCACAGTGGCTCATGTATTACTAACCAGAGTCTCGAGCGCAGTGGTACCTGAGCTGCTGTCCATTGGAAAGCCAGGATTTTTTATTTTATTTCCAGGACAATTTCAGAAAGAAAAATCATAATTAGTTCATTACCGTGAGTGTGAGGATCAAGGGACACTCGCCACTTATATTATGACAATGGGTAAATTGTAATAAAGAGATAATGGCGTTATATGTTGAGTAGTATATAGTGCTTGTTCAGTCAGTCTATTCAGACTGAAAAGATAGAGCAAGGAAGCGCTCTCACTTTTTTTGGACCTAGCAAAATTGGTGAGCACTGCACTGCCATAACATGTCCAAGGAGATGGTTGGAGAAAGAATGCTATTGATCGCCATCGGATCTGAGATGCAGAGAAGAATCACAAGGCTGTTCCAAAAATCACATTATTCAGCAGCAAATGTATAACCGTTCATCCTGCAAAGGGAACAGATATTTGCATTTTTTGGTACAAGTAATTGATACCTGGCTTCTGGGTCTTTCGGCTATGGTGTCCACATATGAATATGACGAGCTGATCTCACCATGATCGATCTACTGCAAGCAGTACCATTAACTATCACAAAAAGGAAAGACAATGTGAAAGTGAAAACTACTATTAATCAGATAGGGAGGGAGGGGGGACATATAACTAACGCAAAGTAAAGAGAACTGAAGAATTTGTTGATTTATTTATGTGTTATTTTGTGTGTATGTGGACTCGGGGATTAGTTTGATACTCGGCGCTCGGCTCGTTTGTTACTGAGCTAGGCTATAGCCTTTTCAACTCGACGAGGCTCGAAAGTTGGCTCGTTTGAAGTTCATGATTTGACTTGATATTGTGGCTCGTGAGTCAGCTCGATCGAAACTCACTAGCTAGCTTAATAATGTGGCTGGTGACTTCAGTTAAATTTAAGGTATAAGTCAACTTGATGGTATGACTTGCAAACCAACTCGATTAGTTATTCATTACATAGCTCCTAGACTGACATATTATTAGTCTTATAGCTTGTAGGTTGGTTAAATTACAAATCTTTCAACTTACTATTAGTAATACAACTCATAAATTGGTTAGGCTACTAATTATATATCTTTCAACTTAATGTGGTTTGAGACTTCGTATATTTACGGACAATATAACCCATAGATTAGTTAGACTACATATCTTTGAACTTAATGTGGTTTTGATAGTTTTTGTATTGTGGCTAAATATTCATTGCATATATGAATTGTGTCAGGGTAAAATACCTCGGGCACCACTAAAATATGAGAATTGGGAGAGCTATACCACTAACGACATTGAATTGTGCCTCCGTTTAAATTTTCTTCCATCTACAGTTAACAACAAATAAAATATTATTTTGGTCAAAATTTAAAAAAAAAATTGAAAAACGAAAAATTAAAAATTAAAAAAATCCCCTCCGCCTCCAGGCTCCTTGTCCTAACCCTCACCACCGCCCGGCGGGCGCTAGCCCTGCCCACCTTCTGTTAAACTTAGCGACGAAACCCTCACCATTGCTCAGGTCGTTGTTATTGCACAGCGCCGCGATGTGACGGGTCGAGCTCGCTGAATCCGCCAGAGCCGGCGTCAAGGCCAGTAGCGACTGGGTTTGGACAGGATGAGCAAAGGAGCTGACAGGATTCAGTGCCACTTCTCACCGGAGAACCAAACAAGGTGACGCTCTTAAGAAGGCACTCATCAGGGAATTAAGTCTTTAATCCCTCTATTTTGTTGGATATGGGTATGTGAGTGAATAGCAAAATAATAAACCTTTTGATTCATTTTTGGGTTAATACCCTAGTTTGGCCCGAAGTTTAGCGTTAGTGACAGTTCTGGCCCCATTTTTCAAATAAGACATTTATGGCCTACTTCTGAAACTATTTGACAAATTTGGCCTAAAATTTTCTTTGACCGTTAATATTAACGGTCAAACACTATTCTGTTAGTGATTCAGCAAAAAATCACTGATGTGACATGCCACGTCATTAAAACATATTATTTTAATTGTATATTTCAATTAAAATAAAAATTAACAGAATAAAAAAATCTTCTTATGAACCCAAAATCCCCAATTTAAAACCCAAAATTAACAATTTAGGGTTTGAATTTGGGGATTTTGGTTTCATAAGAGGATTTTTTTTATTTTGTTAATTTTTATTTTAATTGAAATATACAATTAAAATAATATGTTTTAATGACGTGGCATGCCACATCAGTGATTTTTTGCAGAATCACTAACGGAATAGTGTTTGACCGTTAATATTAACAGTCAAAGAAAATTTTAGGCCAAATTTGTCAAATAGTTTCAAAAGTAGGCCATAAATGTCTTATTTGAAAAATGGGGCCAGAACTGTCACTAACGCTAAACTTCGGGCCAAACTAGGGTATTAACCCTTCATTTTTTTGGGACAATAAACCTTTTGATTCTTGATGTTATTGTTAAGTGTTAAGGTATGAATTGGAGTCCAGCAGAGGTGAGGCTTTGGAGACGGAACCTGGAGGCGGAGGTGATTTTTTAACTTTTTGTTTTTCACATAATTTTTATTTTTTACCAAAAAATTATATTTTATTCATTGTAAATGGGAGATGGACAGAATTTTAAACGGATACACAACTCAATGACGTTAGTGGTACCCGACGCTCTATTCATACTTAAGTGGTATAGCTCCACCAATATTCATACTTTAGTGGTATCCGAGGTATTTTACCCGAATTGTGTCTCATACCTCAAGTTTACACATGCTAAACACACATAACACATAGATATCGGGTAATTAGCGGAAACTTGCACTTAGTACAAAATAGTCAAAAACTTAAATTTGTAACTATCTATTCGTTCATCCTTGTCCAATCGAGTCGATTGACGAACCATACGTTCGTTCTCCGGAATGTCATCTCAACAATGGCAGAGATTGGCAGTGCATATACAGCCTTGTAGACGGAGTTGATACTCTCACTTGAGTTCGTTGTGGCAATACCCCACCTGGTACCTCCGTCCTTATGAAAAGTCCACATGGTTAGGTCATGTCCATCCAGTCATTGCGCACCTTCAGGGGATAGCTCACTTATCTTCTGCAACTTCTCCTTGAATTTCTTCTCTTGGTAGGCAATAGTTGAGGAATATACAAGTGAACTCGTTAGACTCTTAGGAGAGGTATGCATCTCCTTAGAAACACATCCTCTTTTACAGAAACATGGGGGATCTGAGAATCGCTTAAAACCCAATTTTCCCAAGAAATGGGAGGGTCACGATGATCGCTTAAAACTCCATTTCCCTAGGCATGCATCTCTTGATACAGAGTCAAAGTAACTGTTGCATAGTACTAGCCCTTATCATTGGAAATAACCATTATGATTTAATAGTTACATAATTATATTATAAACCACTTAAGTATGTTAAACAAAATATACTTGATTACGAAATAGAACGCTTACTAGTTCTCCATAGATTATCAGCAAGCTTCCTCCGCTTGAAATGATGGTTCCAATTGCTTTTGAAGTGTCGTATGCACCACCTTTGGGACCACTTCCACGCTAGATTCAAGCCTAAGTGGCACCTTTGATCTCGACGTGGCAATCAAAGATGATTATCATGTTCGTCCTCTTGGTAACGTGGAGGTGAATTTGTCGAAAGAACCATCCATAGCTTTTAATATTCTCCCCCGCAACAATGGCGAAGGCTATAGGAAAGATACCTCTATTTGCATCCGCTCCACTGGCAATTAGGAGAGTACCCTTGTACTTGTCGTTAAGGAATGTGTCATCCACTTGCATCACAGGAACATATAAGGGGAAACCATTAGATGGCTTGAATGACCTATAAAAGGCGTTTGAATTGGCGTTTGTGTACCACGCTCTAGAGATGGGTTCTTCATCTTGGTAGCCCGGGGAGAAAACAGTGTCAGGGTTAGACGCCTCCAATGCCAAAATCAATATGGGAAGGTATGCATATGATTCTTCCCAGTCGCCAAACACGGAGGCCATGGCTTTCTACTTTTCATGCCACCCCTTCTTATAGTTAATATGATATCCATAACAACTTGAAATGTTGGTGATGATGGTTTTGACCTTCAAGTACTGTTGTTGGTCAATCAGGTGCTTGATAGCCACGACCACCACCATGGATTTCAATGCTAATGGCCTTGGGCTGTTATGGATGGCACACATGTGTGAGTTTTCACCGCACGGAATATGACCCAACCCTCGACTCTCGTGCTCCTGATGGGACAGACCCTATCCGTGCATCCCTCGTGTTGATTTTGGCATCTAATATGAGCATTCTTGTGTCAAAATGACTTGTGCGCCATTCAAAAATCTGATTCATTGCTTCAGTGTCAATAGCGTGCCACACTTCCTTCTTCTTACCAAATATTTGGCCCTTCTTAAACCTATTGGTTGGACACCTTATTGGCACCTCTGGCAGCTCCATGTCGGCATCAACATACCAACTTTCATTTGGAATGTCCTTGTAGTATGTGATAGGCATATGTTTACGGGACACCTCATCAGCTGAGTCTGAATTTGGACCTGAATCATCAGCACCTTCAAAAGAATCGAAGCTTTCTGCACTGTCGCTGCCTTCCTCTTCTTCATCTTAAGGATTACTAACTAGACCTGGTACCGCATCTTCCATCTCATCTTGATCATGAAAGGCACTTTATCATCACCGAAATGGTAGTTGTGATAACTAACGTTGCATTCATGGAAGTTGTGATAACTATCGTTGCCTTCATGGAAGTTGTACTCGGGTTGGTACTGGTAGCATTTCTGTTCGTTGTCATGGTAACGTTAGGCTTCTTCTTCATATGATAGGAAGGATTGATGATGATAACCTCTACCTCCTTCTTTGTACTCATGGTAGGAATGATGATCATGGTAACCTTAGTAGGGATGATCTTTATATACTCTACCCTCACCGTGGATACCAGATGTTTGGTCATCTCCAGAATGACCTCCATCGCCTTCAACCTGCTCGGTGTAAACAAACATCTCTGCTTTGGAAATGTTATTGAGATTCAAAAATTCGAGCATGGCATCAACTTTTTCTTGGGTGGTTATGAGCAATTCATCATGCCACAACGACCCACCTTCTCTGTTTGGATACTGATACACCATACGATCAACTCTCCTCGTGTCGTCCATGCAAGCAACCGTATAACACATTTGATGGTGCTCTTCAAGGTTCGGTCTCGT